TAAAGACATACTTAGGGTTGACTTATTTATACTATGTGTAATCATTGATACGTTCAATTCTTCTGTAAGAGGAAGACAGATTAATTTAATATACATAGTAAAATACTAGGATGTTCAAATAATTTTTTAAAGCCATCTTTGTAATCTTCGATTTGTTTTAGTGCAATATAATTTGTTTTAACTAACAGCTGGTTAGTTATAAAAATGCCATATAGAACTATGAGGTTATTTACTCTGATTTTGTCATTGATTATAGGAAATAAGTAAGATTAGTAGACCACCGAGATAAGTAACACCATTGATGTGTACAAGTCGAGGCTCTGTACACAAGTTAAATAAAAAAATATACAAATTATTTTACTGCTAAACTTTTTTGGAAAGGGTAGGAAAATCACAATTTTTACATGTTTTAATTCATCTTGGCAGTTTTTTGTTTACAATCAATGTTTTTGAATGCTTGAACTTTGTTTGGATTAGGCCCGGAAATATTGATGTCATAAAGATGGAGATCAAGAATCCTCAGGAATACGAATTTAAATAATTACCACCACAACCTCAGACGGGTGTTATCCAAAGATATACAGATGAATGACATAGATTGAACACAACGTCATCATTGACCTAGGATACTGCAATTAGACTAACCATCCTTTTATGAAATCTAAAAAAGTTGTTTGGCGTGTGTTTAGTTGTGGTTACAATTGGAGGCGCTGAATATTTTATAGTTTAAATAAATGAATATGGGGAATTACGATGTACATTGATTCAATGAGGGTGGTTTAATTATCAAAGATATTGGAACTAACGGAATGGACAATAAACATAGACAATTAATTACGTCACTAGCTTTAATAGCGTTTTTACTTTTTAAATTCCTTCAACATGTGACCATCGATCTCTGTGACCAGTTCTTTTGTTCAAATGAATATTATTTTTGACTCAGCTGTTTACAAAACAAACTAATATGTTGTTGTGTTTACTTTTCTTTGTTTACACATATTTATATAGCAATTGATGCAGTGAAATTGACATAAATGATGTGTGTGGACGATTCGTTAAATGATGTCAGGACACCAACGTTATAATTATGTGTACTGTGAATTTTATTGGATGCTTTAGTTTTATTTTAGGAAGTTTCAATTCAGATCCACTGGAAATTGTGTATAGTATGAGTAGGCCTAATTGGATTGTGGTGATATTGATTATGGAAGAGGTAGTTATGCGATGGAAGGTGATATCATTGACTAGGCCTATACACTTCTCCATTGATAATTACTCTTTCTACTGTAGGCTGCAATAAAATTTGCCTTTATACGTGTTAACTAGCTGTTCTGAATTATTGGCCTACCTACACACCGTTTTAACTGACTACTCCCGTACGTAGGACGGGCTAACACCTCGTTAGAATTAAAACCCAACACAGTTTTCTGAACAATTGACAAAACATGTGAATGCACCGATGGATTTTCAAAAACCTTGGCTCAAATAAAGGATAAATAAAGCCTTATAATATAATTCAACTAACTGTGTGCCCTCTAGATGCGTTTAATGACTTGAAAATAACACATTTTAGGATAATGTCTAAAAATGTCTCGGTCTATGCTCTAGTTTCAAGAGGTAAATGCTGCAATTACCATTTAGTAATTCTGATCCTTCGTCAGGTAATTCAGTGTTAAGAGAGAGCTATAATGCGCAGTAGGCGGCTCTAGCACCATTACAGCTACATAGTAATTACTAACAATTCTAGTAATTGGACAAATTAAGTTACTCAAGTCACTTGTTGTTTGTATGTGAAGCTATAAAGTGTAACGTTTCTTCGTGTTTGTTTACCTTTTTTGCAGATTTAGTACTAAAAAAATTGAATTGAATATAGTTCAAGTTATCATCATATTGCAGATAAAGCTTTTTTAATTTTAAAACTTTTTTCTCGTATCAAATAACAAATTAGGTCCGAATTTTTAAAACTCAAATTTGTAACAACTCGAGCCCACGCACAACTCCTTTCCATTACATTAATTTTTAACTAGCCTAAGCAAGCACATTTCAATTAGTATTTAAGTTTATACTATTAATAACTATTTAAAATCAATTTTACATTAATTTTACGTAAAAAATGTATGCAATGCTTCTAGACTAACGTTGTATTTTATTTTTTTATTTTTTTAAATTTGTTTTTATACTATTGTGGAAATAAACTGATTTGATTTGTAAAGTCAAACAGTTGTAGTCAAATAGTAGTTGTAAGTGTAATAGTTGTTGTAGAAAGATTACTTGAGAGCGCGCTCATGGTGATGACATGTTTTATATCATGTTTAAGGATAGATTTTAAAATTTGTGCTTTACGCTTTTCGGTCGTAATACCAATACCAGAGGTCAAGTGATGGTTTAAAAAGTTTTAGTTTAACCAAACCCGTTTTCAGTTGCTTGGAAAAATAATAAATACCAAAACAGTCTTTATGTAACAAGAAAAAAAATCTCGGACTTATGCTATTAAAGGATGACAATATCTACTATGGATTGTAATAGTTCAGAAAAACATTTGGCGAAGGAAATCTTTAACGTTGTACTTAATTTAATAGCGCAACCGAATGTAGGCAAAAACTGATAACTCGGTTGTTTGTCATCCAATTTCAACAAAGGCCTCATTTAATTTCTATTTTAATGCTCTATCATTTTTATGTTAAAACAATTTTCTTAATATTAAAGGTTTTCATTAAATTTGACATTATATATTATAAATGGCCGCCATATTGGAATTAAAAGTTTGAGATTAAAAGTTTTAAGTCTTTTTACCTTTTACACTACAAATTTATACAAATTTGGAAATTTAAATCTTGATAAATTCCCAAGATATAAAATAATTATTTAAAATCACAAACAGCCTGACAAACAGAAATCCAGGCATACTGTAATAGGCCCATTCATATATGGCATTTTATGTTTATTTATTTATATCCAACGGCAAATAACCAATACTTATAGAAGCATGATGCAACATGGCTACATACAAAGAATATACAAAAATATACAGAAAATACAAATACAGAAATACAAATACTAAAATATACAGAAATACATATAAGAAATACAGATACTGAAATACAAATAGTATGTTTGTCTTAGCCCATAACAAGTCCACAAAATATGTCCAGATACCGTAATTTGGAAACATAAATAAATCATTACAGCCCCAAATCAATCAATATAGTAAAATCATCAATCAAACAAGTGACAAGAGGTGTACCACAGGGCTCAATACTGGGCTATTTACCTTTACTATTCCTCATATACATAAACGACTTTCCAGACAAATTAGACAGCACCCAAAAATGTGTGCTCTTTGCAGATGACACTACAATAATAACCCCAACTGTGAGAAATGGAAATAGAAACCGCATCATCAACTCAACAATAGATCAAGTAACAACCATCTGTAACAACCTACAACTAACAATAAATAACAAAAAAACTTTGCATATCAACTTCACCCCAGCATGCACAAAAAAACCTGAAACCAACAACTCAAAACTCGTAGAAGCAGACTCAACGAAATTCCTTGGCATTATAGTTGACCAACACCTCAGCTGGCATCAACACATAGACTACCTCTGCAAGAAGCTCTCGAAGTCATTATTTGCAATAAGAAGAATAAGAAGCATAACGGATGAAGAAACAGCCCTTATGGCATATCATGCACTGTTTGCCAGTCACATTAGATACGGCATTGTGGCTTGGGGATCTTCAGCACAGAACAAATTAGACCAACTACTCGTGATCCAGAAGAAAGTCATTAGAACAATATTCCGGAAAAATTACCAAGAACACTGCAAGCCACTCTTCAAGAACCACAAGATCCTGACCATCACATCCACATATATCCTGGAGACCATAATCCTCATAGTAAATTCAAATCCAATCCTTCGATCCAGTCAACACAACCACAATACCCGCAACAAAAACAACATTCACCTTCCACGCCACAGACTAAACAAAACCAGTAAATCACCATCTCACTCAGGATCATCCCTTTACAATCTTCTGCCACAACACATAAAAAAAATTAACAAGCCAAACATTTTCATAAAGTCACTAAAAGAGTAATTAACAGTCAGACCCTACTACTCACTATCAGAATACACTGAAGAACATACATATACCAACACCTCAAATAGGGCCCATTAAAGCTACTTCAATCAAATATTGACGATTCCCCAATCACCAGATTGTGGAGAAGACATCGAAGGTAAAGGTAAAGGTAAAGGTAACACGTTGTACAAAACTTAATACATTTTTAAGTCCACTTAAGACGAGAGACATTTTTAATTAGGTTTTATTGTTTTGTGCTTTAATTTTTATTAATTGATATAACGTATCGTATAACCTATGGTAAAAAAACTTAAACCAAACATTTTATCCTTAACATATCTTGTTACTAACTTTATATTCCAAATAAGCTGTGAAATTCAAGAACGAGATATATATTATATACAAAATAATAGTATGAGAAACGTTCTACGCTTCATAGCCACTGAGCTAAAATTATAACTGGAGGTAGCACTGCCATGGCAGAAGTCTGTCAAAAGCGTGTCGCTGATTTTGTGAGGTTGGTATAGCAGTGAGTTTTTTTTATCCAATAACATGGCTTCTATAACTAGGTCGGTATAGCAGTGAGTTTTCTTATCCAATAACATGGCTTCTTATAACTCACACCTCACGCAAACATGGCGGCTGGTGACACGCATCTTTGACATTCAGTGCTACCTCCAGTTAGATTATAGCTCAGTGTTCATAGCCAATGTATACGATTTGCTCCTCTATGAGTTTTTTTCTATTGTCGTTGGGAACCATGTGACGTGGGAGGACCAGGGAGGACTGGGCTGGAGCACTGAGCTTTTTTAGCTCAGTGGGCTGGAGTGCGACTGGAGTGGCCGAGTGGAGCGCAGTGGAGTCGGAGTGAGTGAATGTGCAGTGCGTGCGATTGCGAGCTAGACAGACGGACAGCCGACAGACGACGAAAGTTGTAAACTTAACCTAGAAAAGTTAGAAACTGAGGGAAAGAAACAAACACAAACAAGAATCAACAATGAAGCCTTTTTAAATAAAATTCATGTATCTCGTTACTTGATAACAAATACATTGATAATTACGGGGAAATTGGTACATTTTTAGAATCTTTGTTTACTATGGCAGACGGAGAAAGAGGCCGGGACTCTCGGAGAAAGAAATTTTATCCTAACAGGGTGAGGGATGACTTTTTATGCAGTAAAAGGTTATTGTTAGTTATGAAAATCATTCTTTCTCTTCCTTTTAGGTCGTCTAAGGGGTCTAGGCCATTCGTGTCACTTAGATAATAGTTATTGTTACCGTATTCATAATCCAGTAAATAGGCCTACAGAACAGAAAGTACAACAGTGTATAACAGTTTCTGCAATAATTTCACTAGGCCTAGAGTATTTCAAGAATTTTGTAGGTAAGCTTATTCCTAACTTAATAATAATAATTTAAAAGAAAGGCTTACTCATCAACATTCTCAAAAAAGATTAATTAGCCTAGGTTTATTTATAGTAGGCTATAAGTACGTTAAGGTAATTAATGACTAAGTTAATAAGTTGGTTAAAAGACCCAAACAAATAACAATCTTGGCATCGTGTTTTGTATGTGGACTGCCAGTGTTTTTTTGGTTTTTTATGGAATGGACATATTAGTTTCAGTTTTATTGTATAGTGAAAAACTTAATGGCCCTAGTCTGGAATGAATCTTTTAACAAATTCCATATTTCATCACTTTAGGCCTAAGTATATAAGTTCATCCCTAATAGTGATAACCTATATTGTAGACCTATTGTGTTTTCTGCATCGTGGCATAGGCCAATCTGGCTTGCCAGGATGCAGAAAACACTATAGGCCAATAATATAAGTTATCACGATTAGGGTTGAATTACTGAGGGGATTGCAAGTCCATTTAATGGTTTTTCTTCTGCCTATGTCTTTTATTTCAGAGGAAAGATCACTATTTTTTTTTCCGTCTCTAGATTTTTGGGTAATCTTGAATATTATGTCCTGGTTTTTTTTAAGGAAAGAGAAGAGAAAAACTACGGATCTAGAAGGTTGCCTATAATCTTGACCAAACCAGATGGAGATAAAGAAGGTAAAGGTGGAAAAAATAAACCCCAAGAAAATGCTGAAAAACCTCTTTCACAACCAACAATAATCCTACGTACCAGAGATGGGGACAATCGAGCTGTTTCTCCTAGTCAGCGATCTGCCAGGTAAAATTTTGTATAACTAGTGTCATATGTAGAGGCTACTTTATGCAGAGTCTGGTAGGCCTAATAATGCATAATTTGTTGTAGGATTAGGCCTACCAGGAAAAAATGTAAATTAAGTTAGGCCTATTGTGAATTCACCAAGATAACCTGATTTTAGTGTTACAATATTTTGTTGGAATAAGTTGAATGAATTTATGGATTTAGAAGTATTTTAGCGCCCAGTGATATACAGTACTTGCTTGACTAAACGCGTACGAAATACCGTCATCACATGTTAAAACTTAGTGTTACAACATTGTGAAGATCGTCTGCGATCCGGTAAAATTCTGATCATCTTCTGAGGTCTCGGCAAAATCCATTAAACAACTGTCACGGTCTCGGCAAAATTGGACACAATGTGTGCGGTCACAGTGAAATTGTGAACTTCTTCCGCAGTTCCAGCAAAATTGAGAACATTTTCTACGGTCATACTAATATTGAGTAGGTACCGCACTGTTCCACGGTCATGGTGAAATAGTAGGCCTAATCATTTTCATTTTCAGTGGTAACAACAAAATCGTTAACATATTTGAATCTGTGATGGCAAGATCGAGAACATCATCTGCGGTGATGGAACAATTGACAACATCTAACTTACCTTGGTCTCAGCAAAACGCTGAATATCTTCCATTGTAAAATCGAGATCATCTTCTGCGGTCTCCCATTATCATGATAAAATTGTGAACCTCATCCGCAGTTATTGCGATAATATCGTCCATTTTAGTTGTGGATCTTCACAAACAATTCTTTCAATTGTGAAAGTAAATGCTCATGTTGGCTCGACTCAACCAATGGTTTAAGAGCTTGACCCAATAATCATTTTTAATCTCTTGGGGCCTAACGATTCCTCAAAACAACCTTTTGTCCAACCGCAGGTCCATCCCCTCCCTATTGATTAATAAAGCTTGAATTTGCTATTTTCGATTTTGTTTTTGTACACTTAGAAGTCACTTTTTTGGATTCAGTCTTTAAAAAAAAAAAACTGTAGGCCAAGTAAGTAGACATTTAAAAGCTAGGCCTATATTTAACTTTTACTGTTAATTTCATTAGGACAGCCAAAAATAAATTGGGCTAATCTAGGTCAATATGTAAATTTTGAAAATATTTAAAATCTCAAATTCAGCTTTCTATGTGTACTTAAAATCCCATATTACTTTCAGACTTCTAAGTGCGATATTCACTTAAAAACTGAATTTGGGGTATCATTCCACTATTTTTTCCTATTCTAACTAGCCCTAACAACACCTTTTGTTGTCAGAGGTGAAAAGAAGAATGAAACTCCAGCACCTCTATATCACCTGGCTCCAAAAACTTCCAGCTCAGAAAGTAAGTACCTATCAACATGTTCATCAATTGAATTTATTAATTATTTTTTCCAAATCTGATATACCTTGGTTAAGATTTTAGTGACTATGGTCACAGAAAACGTACTACTATAACCCAGAATGCCAACCGCATGGTAAAAAGCATTAAGCGGTTTGAGAGAGCTTTGCCTGTCAATCCGTAGGCAGCGCCACCAGCGTTGCCATGCAATAGCATAGCAACGCTGGTGGCGCTGCCTACCGATTGACAGGCAAAGCTCTCTCAAACCGCTTAATGCTTTTTACCATGCGGTTGGCATTCTGGGTTATAGTAGTACGTTTTCTGTGCTATGGTGTGTGATGCTGTGTCCCAGACTTTTATCTGACAACTAACAGCTATTTGGTTTTTATAACACCTATTTCTCTTAGCAAATTTCGTTAAAAAATTACAAACAAATCTTGCAACAGTGAAATAAAACACGGATCTTGAAACACGGAAAGGTAAGAATACTGGAAAATTGAAACATTTATATAAGGTATGTCGACAACATTTTTCCTGTCTGAAGTACGTTTCAAGTGAAACTAACCCATGTTATCAAATCGGAACTTAAATAAACTAGCTTAAGAATTGGAGATTCTGATTCATAAAAACAATTTGAAGATATTTCAATTCAATTCAACCTAACTATCTTACATAATGGAATTTTCTGTATCAACTTATGTTTTATGTTTGTCAAGATACAAACGCTCTTGCCCTGCCTCCCGAGATGACGTCTTCTGTGAAACTCATCAATGATCAGTTCCAAATGCTCGACTCCTGCTTGGAGTTCCTCACTGACCAGACAGACTTCATTGTGATTGGCTGCGTCGGCCCCCAGGGTGCAGGGAAATCTACCCTAATGTCCCATCTCGCTGGTTCGTCACCTGGCCAACTTGCCAAGTGAGTTTTAGATTTTTTTTTTTAAATTTACAAACAACTGATCATATCTGGGTAGGTGAAAGGTTAGTGTTGGTTCAAACCTTACGTTGATCTATTGTCGTCCTTTTGTTAGATATCAGCATTAATCAATAGCACAATGACAAATGGCATTTGGTTCCAGTTATGATCTCGCCCGGAATCGACCCAGTGGTCTTTGCCTAAGACACAGTTTAGTTTAACAGGTTGAGTGTTTGAGTCCCGTCTCAGTAAAGTATTGTGTGTACCTGAAGGAGTGAAACTGACTGAGACAGAGCTTTGGTGAAAAAAGGACACTTCTTGAAATGAACAGTTGTAAATTGCCAGGGATTCTTTGTGTGTCACACTCAAATCAGGCTTTTTGCTAGTTTTTTCTTATATCTTTGTGTGTTTGTTTAGGCTAAAATATTATTTAAAAATTTAATTGATACACCTTTGCAAAGTATTTTTTTAAATTTAAATTTTTTACAATTTTTTAAAAATCTTGTCTTGGAAAAATCTTGACCAAAATAGAATCTCGTCTCGTAGAACAAGATTTAAAATTTCCCGGAAATTTCCCAAAATTTCGAGACCCGTCCATCCCTATAAATTTGTTAATTGCAAAATCAAATTTTTAAGTTTGTTTCCAGCACAATTTTCAACACACAGTCTCTGAGTGACCAAATTAAGGGGAACCACTGCACAGATGGGGTTGATTTCTACATTTCCCCGGACAGAGTCATTTACTTGGATTGTCAACCAATCCTGTCACATTCTACGTCTTTGGACATCAACTTATTGGTAAGCTTAGACTAGAAAAAAACTCATAGAGTTTGTATTTTTTTTAATGTAGGCTACATGCTGAACATCGAAGTGTCTCTAAGTAAAGTACCTCATCCTATGGTTAGGCCCTAAATTTCTTCCAAAAGTAAAATTAATGTTCCATCTTCTATTGTAAAAGTGATAAATAACCACCAGACGGAGTATGTTTTTTGTTTATTAATAACAAATTTGGTGTTTCTTAAAGTTGTTTTCAAATAATTGGTCTTTTGTCATCATGCTTAACAATTCCTACACATTAACTAATTTTAATTACATTTAACAAAAATTATAAAGACCAACATCTGAGTGGATAAAACAGCCCTAGGTACTTTGGTGTTATCCGGAGGCCACCCTTATACAGCGCACTCGTTATGTTAGGTTGGGTTATCTATCATAAATAGTAGGACTTTCCTAGTTTTGTTATGAATCGAACGTTACTAGATGAGTCATACTTTCACATGCCAAATCCCCTCTAAGTAGGCCAAGGTCAGGTCATTGACCAGAGCGCACGCATCACCTGTCACCGCCTGTATTTGGCGGGCGAAAGTATGACTCATCTGGTATCGTTAGAATCTTACGAAACGAGGAAAGTTCTACAAACATATTTATAATAACCCAACCTAACATAAGCGCCGCAGCGCGCTGTATACCTACTTGGGGAGTATAGCGGCAGCGATGCATTTAAAACTCAATCCTCGCCGACATCGCTGCCTTCTGGGAGGCAGAACTCAAAGGCCGCTAATCGTTATCATTTAAAATTTGGACAGTAAGTCAATTAAAATGTTTTTTCCAATTATGTAGTTATTTTTGGCCTATGGTAAAAACACCCCTTTTAAAATGAGTGGCCTCCGGATAATACCAAAGTACCGTGCCCCTTTCAATCTTAGAATAAGGGTTTGTGTATTCTGAAAATCTTTTCAGATGCCTCTTATCTATGAACATGGTTGGATTAAAATTTGCTTAGTCAGACCAGTCGACATTGTGTCAACATTCAGTTTAATGTTTCAGAAAATACCGTCATCGTCACAGAGTTACATGGACTCTATGTTTTTCGAGAATCTGTCGAGTGTGTTGTCTCTACAGCTGACTGCCTTTCTAATGTCCGTCTGTCATGTTGTGTTATTTGTACAAGATACTTTCAACAACCCCAACCACATCGGGTGAGTGTTAGCGTCGTAAATTACAGTTAGTGATTGTCGGAGGTCGGATCCAAAATTGTTTGATTATGATGTGGAGATGCTGACTTAATTCTCGATTACAGATACAATTTTGGTACCAGATTAAATTAAAATACACATTAAGCGATTCGGGTAAATTTCATTCTGGTTTTGCTTGGGGGATTTAAATTTTAGTAGTTTTAAATAGTGGTAGAGTTTTTTTTTTGTTATGGGATTTTATAATATTAGCGTTTAAAGGGGTAATACTTCTGCAAATTTTGCATGGTACGTTGAACAAAGCATTTAAACAGTTAATAGCCTAGCTTTTGTTCAGATTATTTTTCAAAATACAAACTTAGTTATTATTATATGAGTTACTATATTTATTGAGCATTTATTTATTGAGCATTTGTGAATAAAAACGCTACCTGATTATAACCAATCAATACAATGTACACATTGAAAGTATTCCTTTTAAAAACTTCCTTTCTTAATGAAAATTTAAAACCTTGCTAAGATTTATGAATATAATTGATTATAATGTGAGATTTTTTAAAGACTTTTTAAAACTTTATTCTTTTCAATTTTAATATTTTAACACGTTGAGTGCTGACAACCTTTAAAAAGGCGGTGCGCAACCGAATCAGCAAACGCAATTGTAATTCAAATATTTTAAACTGACGAATCACAAAAGAGCAGCTCACTGAAATACCCAAAGGCACTGCCTGGATCTGTAGCCAGTGCCTTTGTAATGTGGGTCGAAGAGAGAAAATCCCCAAAACCGGGACAAAAGCATTGCCACACGGGATTTTGCAGAAAATTTTAGTACCAACCTACACCAAAATAAAGCTCACACTCTAAGCTAGAGGCTGTGATTATAATGTTCCCCGGCAATGGCTGAGCTCACACTGACTTAATGTATTTCAGGTGGTTGGCCGCCGACAATTGTCGGTGCGCGCCACCTGGAAGCGTTAGTGACACCGTCTGACGCCGACTAAAGTCGGCAGTCGACGAAGTTAAGGATGTTTTTGATATGCATTGTCTGAAAAATTATCCTTCGCAATAGTGAAGTTATAAAACATAGTCCCATTACTGTTCTGCTGTGTCCAGATTTCTCCACACGGCCGCCATGTTGAAGCCCCCCACCAACACATCTGCAGAGGACTGTCTGGTGGAATACTTCCCTCAGATCATGTTCGTCCACACTCACTGCAGCTCGGAGGACTTCTCTGTACCCAGGGTCAAACTTATACAGGTTGTAAACCGTCAACATAATCCAAAATAAACGGTGAAATCATACATTCATAATCATGAAATACTAATATGAAAATGCGATGATGATAAATGTAGACAGCTTAAAAAATCTGGAGTTGTATGAGTGACTTGAATAATTTGACATTACATCCATGGACCAGCTGTACCCAATTTTTTTTACTAAAAATGAACACTGTTGAATGAGCCCTTAGTATTTGTTATAGTAAGTTTATATGGTATTAAAGATGTTATAGTTTACAATAAGGGGTGCCATTTTAGTTTGCCTTGGTTAAAAATCTGATAACTGAGAACTGGAGATGGAAGTTATAAATTATTAAAAAAATCAAACCCATGACCCATTGTTGTCTTATGTTATCTTAATTCACATCTTGCTACATCTAAAACTTGAAGCATTATAATTTCTTTCACAAATATATGCTGTAAAGATGTCTAATCTTTCAATGTTTTGTAGGACTGGTACAGCAAAGCCTTCAGCAAGTCTATGCTGCAGATTCATAGTGGTATTGGGATTGCTAATGGAGGAGTGATTGATGCCCTCACTCCCACCTCCCTGGACCAGGAGCCGTTGAATCTGTTCCTGTTGCCATCTCTGGTTGATGAGGGTAAGCTCAGAACAGCTTTGTCTCACTATCAGCTGTTTTTGAGTTCAGTTGTGCTCAGGATGTAAGCCAGGAGGGAGAGAATCCAACCTCTATGATCGACTAATAAATTCTCCTGTTTCAGTTCCAAGAAAGTTACAATCACGGCATTGACTTAAAATTATAATTTGAACTATTTCCAAACTATAATTTGTTGCTCAGCGTCGCTCATGGTTCGAAGTCCAGACCAATTTTTACAAACTCCTCTTGCTACTCAAATGACACCTTCAGTTAACGACAAGTCTTTCTTCGGGCTTGAATTGTTGTAAACCTATAGGCAAAATTTTTTCTCAATCTTTTCAAAATGTATTTTAAGGTAGGGATGGACATCCTTGTGTCTTCAAAGATCTTATTGCCGTCTTCCCTAAGCTGCCGAATTAGATGGTGGTATTCCCCATACACTCCTCTCCTCTTGTTGATAAGATCAAGATGTACCTCCATTGTCTCCGACGCCTCTGACCACTACTAAATTAGTTTTTTTTTGTTTTAATTGTCAGACAACAATAGTTGCGCTACGTCCTTTTTGTCTGCACAGTTTGTCATCTTGAACTAAACTTACACCTATAACAGGGTAAAATGAGCATTAAGAAAAGTGCCACTTGTATCGTAGCAACCACCGCAGCTTACATACCTGAGGCCTAACAGCTGTTTGTATTGGCAAAACTAGATTGATACCATTTTGAGAGCTAATAAACAAACAAAGTACTTATTTTAGTACTGTGAGCTAATAAGCTTAAAGAATGGTGCAGTTGCAGTATGACAATAATAATAATATGTGAAAATGATATGAATACTTGAAAATAATATGTTCATCACATAGACCAGAATGTTTAAGGGTGTAGCATAGAGCACAAGGGCCTAGATTTTTTAAAACAATTTTCAATTTGAAGGTAGAAACTATTTACAAACTAAAGGCACTGCCATGGGTACGAGGATGGCCCCATCCTACGCAAATCTGTTCATGGGGAAACTCGAAAAGTGTTTCCTACAATCACAAAAAATACAACCTTTGTGTTGGTTCCGGTTTATAGACGATATTTTTATCTTGTGGACCTCAGGCTCAGACTCCTTAAAACAGTTTATTGACAGCCTTAACAGTTTCAGTTCCCTTAAATTCACCAGCAACATCTCAACATCAACAATAGTTTTCCTGGACCTAGAAATAAATATTCAAGATGGACTCATACAAACCGGTGTACACTTCAAGCCTACCAACCATCTACAGTATTTACATTTTAACAGCAACCACCCAAAGAACACCAAAAGATCCATCCCGTTCAGTCAAGCCATCAGGGGCAAAAGGATCTGCAGCAACGATGATGAATTAAACAAGTTCAATAACAAAATATCTGACGCATTCATAAAAAGGGGTTACCCTAGAAAGCTGGTGGAGAACCAAATCCGCTTAGCGCAAGACCATCCACAACCAAATAATGAAAAACGAAATAGCAAAAACATTGCTCTTGTCACGGACTACCACCAAGGACTACATTCATTGAATGGCATTTTAAAAGAGGGCTTCAAAATCCTCAAGGCCTCCAACCACACCATCAATTTTTTGAAAGATCCACCAAACATTGTTTTTAGACAACCACCCAATCTCCGAAAAATACTAGTCCACCCAAAAGTTCCTGACCCGGCCAACAACAACCCAAACAACGCACGCCCTAATGGTTCATATCCCTGTGATAACAAGAGATGTAAAACATGTGAAATAAATCAACCCAGCCAAACATTTTCCAGTTCCACAACCAAAGAAAACTACAACATCCGAGGCTTCAACACTTGTGAAACGAAGAACATTATCTACCAACTACAATGTAACAAATGTGAGGCACAGTATGTAGGCCTATCCACCAATAGCCTCAGAACCAGGATGAATGGCCATAGACAAGATGTATCTACTGGATACAAAGACAAACCAGTTGTACAACATGCCCAGAGCCACAACAACCCTAGTTTCAATGACTGCTTTACAACCAAAATAGTCAAATCACTACCTCCTCAATGTAACCAGTCACAACTTAGAAGATGGGAACTGTCCTACCAATGGTTTACTAAGTCTAGACAACCCCCAAACCTAAACCTTAGATAATACCTTTCATCTAACCCACCCAACTAGCAGGCTTACATATTTATTCATATATATATAGTGCATATAAGATAAACTGAAAATGTGTTTTTTGAATTCTACTATTGGCAACACTGACTCAACAACTCACTGGCCACCATTTTGGACATCTAAAAAACTCTCTCTTCCTTAGTTGAAAATGCTGTCAGTGACAGTGAAATATTCTAATGTTTTGTGTATATAGTGTAAAGTTATGTTTTGTGTTTCCTGTGCCAGTTTGGACTCTTTCCCATTCAGGTAAGCCTGCTATCCTCTCAAAAAATCCTAAAAAAAAGACCAGAATGTTTGTTTGACACAAGCTGTAGATTAATAACCAAGGCAAAGCCAGGGTAGTGAAATGAGTAAATCATGTTTAAGCTCTATTAATTAAAAAATATAGGTACTATTACTGTCCTGGAAATTTTTTGACTGTTAAGAACCTTTTGTTTGCATTGCCTTTTAATATTAAAAGTATTTTTTTTCTTTAGAACCTAATGGCCATTTCCAAGGTCATCCGGGATATGAGGATCTGATTATCAAGATGAAACAACAACTCACTGGCATCACAACATATCAGCTGTCTACCACTCAACTCTCGGAGAAAAATTGGTAATTTTTCTTAGCTTATTGTTATTATATCTATTGACTATTAGTAGGGTACAATACGATACAATTATGCAAAAAAAAAAAAAAAACGCCTAACCTCAACATCTAAAGAGAAAGCTAACTTTCAACTCCAACCTATAATTCGATACAGCCCTCGTAATGTATGGTAAAAAAATACACCCTTTTGAGCCTCAGGTTTAGGGGGGAGGGGGGTAAAAGTTTAAAAATTAGTTGCTTTTGGTCTTTATGGAATATTTCAAAAACTGTGCAGATTACAGTACTGTTACAAAAGTTACAAAGGTGAAAAATTTGTATTTTTCAAACATTTTGAATGCCTTAATAGTATATTATCTTACTAGTCCTGAAAATAGGAAGAGTGTGGTCATTCCCACACGAGACGTAGTCAAGTCCGATGAACACATTTTGGACGAGTGACATATAATATTCTACGCCATACTACTCCAAGATAACTTAACAATAAAAAATCGGTACAAATACCTTTTCCCACCGACTAAAGGACCAACAATCACTACTCATAACCTCTAAGTGAGGCTATGTTTTTGTTAATAACCACTCTTTGCCAAATATAATCAGCTGGTTGGTGTCCGGTAGAAACTCATTACGGTACAGTTTTATTTATTTCATGTCATTTGACAGGACATAGAGTCATATACAGGATAACTAAAACTAAAACAGTAGCACGTAATGAAGCCCTATTTGATTAAGCTGGCGGCAAACAGCTGTTTTCTGCACTAAATCCTTGTGTGGGAAGTTCGTTAAAACAGTGTAGTGTGTTAGTAAATATGACTTAGTTACTATGGGAACTAATTTTTTTTCTAGGATAATGTTTTTGTGTTTTATAAAGGTGAATTGTGATTTTACTGTGAATGTTAGTAAAAAGTCCTTCGACAACCTCACTAGACTTCACCTCTTTCTCAATACAATGGGTACTACTTTTTAATGAAATAGTATATTACGTTACTAGTCCTGAAAATAAGTGTTTACCGGACGAGTGTGGTCGTTCCCGTGCGAGACGAAGTCGAGTACGGGATTACCATACGAGTCCGGTACACACATTTTGGACGAGTTACGTACGATAGTTTACGCCATACTACTTAACCCGTACTAATCCTTATATATTTCCACCAACTAAAGGACTAAAAATCACTAGTCATAACATCTAAGAGAGGTTATGTGTTTGTTTATAACCACTCATTGCCACGCAAATACAGTATAATCAGCTGATTGGTGTCCGGTAAAACTCATTGCAGAATTAGCACGCAATGAATCCCCATTTGAATACGCTGGCGGCAAACAGCTGTTTTCTGGACTAAATCCTTGCGTGGAAAGTTCGTCAAAATAATGTAGTGTGGCGTAAAAGAACATTTCAAAGGCCAAAATTTATTTCCTATGCAACCTGAATAATTAATATACAAAACTTCAGCATTCTAGCTAATGGAAGTTGGAACATTAGCTATGATTGAGTGAGTCAGTCAATGAAGGCTTTGACTTTTATAATACCTATAGGCTATCTTTAGATTACCGGTACTTAATACCAAATTTGGTACATTTTACACTAATATGGTTCAATTTTGATGTAGGTTTCATTACGCAATGAAAGTGTTTGAAAACACCAGGAAGAGTTCATTTTTCCAAGAGTACAGCCGCATTCTACCTTGAACAGCTGATTGGCACCAGTTGTTTGCAGATTTTGATGTTCTTAACAGCTGATTTCGGAGGTAAAGAGTAGCTCCAAAAACACAACCAAGACAAATATGTATGGATATTCCATCTGTTGGCATTGCAGAGCATATTCTAAAATGCTCAAGTACAAGTTGTTTTTAGCCTAGAACTTATTTCTGGTTTATTGAATGAGGAAGCAATGTCAGAACTTTGTGTTAAGAATTGTTTAAGCGAATTTGATTAGTAACCTTTGATTTACTTAATTAATATTTGTATTGTGTATATTATTTTTATTTTCATTTTACGACTCAAGCTAGGTCTGTAACGTGTATAATTGTGTTCTGATAAGATTCTCATTTCACAGAATAAATAAATAAGATGTTAATATTTCATTTTTATAATAATTAAATTTAGTTAAAAAAATTACATTATATTTTACTTTCTCAAAATGGATTAAACAGGCCATGCTTTAGAATAGGTTATAATTTATTCTCCTAAACAAAAGTAAACTGTAATGATAAAGGAAGAAAAGAATCCCATTTTATTTCAGTTTAGTAATTAATATATTACAAAGGCAAAAAGTATGGAACGTTTCCATCTGACTTTGATGATCTTACACTTCCCAGTACATATGTGTTCGCCCCACTCAATGTCTGTCCAACCGTCCTAGCAGAAGTGTCATTTTGTGCCCATTGTAGCAATTTTTACATTAAAATTATAGAGTTTTCTTTTCCGAGACAGTTTGGCTCTTCTACCCGACCAATTTTCATAATGTTGGTCTTAAAATAAAGACATTCACATATATATTTGCCATTTAGCATGATTCATTTATGCACTGCACTACTCAACCAAAAAACATAAAATAGATTTTTTTTATTCTCACTTCAAAAAAATATGTAGGCTACTTCACCAGTTCTAATTACATTACGCTATAAGTTTTGATCTAAGAACCTTCAGTAAAATACCAACTTTTATTTGAGCCATTCATTATAAGTATCTGAAGCACGCTGATGAATCAGGAATCAAGAATAATTATAATTATTTTAGAACGTATCTGCAATCAAAGATACGTAACTTCATATTTATTTAAGTTATTTTACATGTCTTGGTCTTAAAATTCTCCTTGAAATAAAGGTTTTCATTTGAGATGTTGATGAATCAGTTAAGTTCAAGATACTATATTAGTAAAAAATAAACATGTTTTATTACAATTATTGTGAATTTTATTTTGACCTGGGCAACGTCGGGTTTTGCTGCTAGTTGAAGTTAAAATAGCTTCTAACTTGTGCTCCCCAGTCCCGCCAGTTGTGAGGCCCAGTCTGGCATTCTGTTTCTGTTGGTCAAACACTTAAAAGCTATACATCTATATTATCGTCAAGGGTGTGAAGTGTGCAGAAGCAAAGTATTAAAATAAATTATAGATCAAATGGTGCATTCAGTTTCAAAATGACCGAGCTAAAGTTGACGTCCAAAAGTTTTGTTTTTTAAAAACGATGCCTTATCTTACATGTCAAATTAAACGTGCACAATCTCCTTCAATCATTCAAGTAGATTTTCCCGCAACCACCCACCCTACAGTCCATACCCGGCTCCGTGTGACTTTCATTTGTTTTGTGCACCAAAATGAAGAGTTGGTTAGCAGCGTATCACTTTGATTACAATGAGGACCATCAATTCCATGTCACCAGGTGACCAAGCTTACTTTGGCTGAATTCTACATCATAGGGATTTCAAAGTTTGTCCACTGTTTTGATAGATGCCTACATTTTTTTGTTGGCTCCTGGTTATGTAGATAATTTGTATTTTAGTTGCTCTTTAAAATGTATACAACGTTCTTTGTTTCTTGTACAAACTTTTTATTTTGTTCCAAAATGTTTTTCCTGAACAGTCCTTGTATTTTTAACCGACTTCCCCACTACCAACAAAAGGAGGAGGTTCTCAATTTGTTTGTGGCGATGTTTTTTTTTTTCTATGTATGTTCACCAATTTCTCTGTGATTCTTTTACCGATCAATGTGGTTCCACCACCAAAATAACCAGGAGAGTTTCTATTTGGTACCTTATATATTATGTTAACCCTCCAAGTGTCCATAGTTTAGGCCTTAATGTCCACCTATTTTTGGCGCATTTGCAAGGTTTTATTAAAACGGATCTGAGAAGCTTAAAACAATGTTAATTCTAATGTTCTATATACCATTTTGTTTGGAAAATCATGGGCTTCAATATTATATATAAAACATAAGGAACATTTAAAAAAAAAAAAAAATTTTTAGGTAAAAAAAATATAATTTCAAAAATTTTCAAAAAAAAAAATAAGTTCGCGCTCAATGAAATTGTATAAATTATAGGCCTATAAATATTTGAAAATAGCCACTTTGTTCTAAATTTTATGAGGATTACAAATATATAATAATATAAGGAAGTAGATTTGCAAATAAATAAGTTATGGGCAAAAAACTGATTTCAGTACATAGCGTTTAGCTAAGAATGCATAGCCTAACCATAGCTAGGAATCTGGCTGATAATTTACATCAATATCACTACCTACTTCTTCAGGATCATCAACCAGCACTTCAAAACCACATAAATCTTCTTATAATGCACCACGTATATCACTACTTTTGATTTTTAACACTAAAACAATGATAAACGTAATAAAACACATCAGTCATCGGTCCGGGGGAACCTAGCTGTTTACAAATACACGCACGTCAGCTGTCTGCATCAATTATGATCGGCTAGGAGAAAAATACAGCGCTGAGACAGACATCTGGAGACAGCTTAGAATGTAACGGAAAGAACGATACCTAACTCGATCCAGTTCAATCTGATTCAGTCAGTTATAGAGCCTTCGCCGTAAACGATGTCTGCTTGTCGAAAAATCGGCAAGTAACACAATACAAAGTGTGGTGCTTGCCGAATTTTCGTCAAGTAACACTGGGAGGGTTAAGGTATAATATTTGTTTCGGTGAAAAATTCTGAATACCTTAAATATTCAACATTTATTTTGTTTACATTTGTGCAGATTGTTTACATTTGTGCAGAGAAGGCAATAAATAATGATAGCATTCCTACAGCTGTTAGTTGAAACCATTAAATGAAGCTACAGACAATTCTTCATGAAACAGTTGCTTCATATTGGTCAATAAACTATTTCTTTCCATGTAGCCTAAATGAATTACATTGAGAAAAATGCATTTTGTTTTGGTTACTATAAAAAATGTATTTTAACGTTTGATCTGATTTGTGTATATAGTAATTCTGTTTTTAGTATTGAATATTCTGACTTAAAAAACATATATGTTTCAGTGAATAGCTGAAAACTTCACTGAAATTTAGTTTGTAAATTTAGTTATTAGTGTTTGATATTGACAAATAAAGGTGTATTGTGAAAACCAAAGCATTCGTAAAACAGGTCTAAATATAAATTAAATGCAATTATTCCTTACACGACCTAAGAAGTGTGACGGTGCATAATCGTCAATTGTCTTAAAAGTGTTAAATATTTTAATTACTAAACATGCATTTGCAGATGTGGAATGTTTATTGATATTCTCTACCCAATTACTATATCATATCAATACTATTATGCCTGCTTCGGAAAGTCCTAGAGGAAGATGATTTGCAATTTCGACTAGGCTATATCTTGAGCAAACAAAACCCCCTACATGACTTACACCACTTTTAGCTGAACCAATCTTTCATATAATATTTTCCAAAGGTACTATACGTGTTAACGACCAATTTTCACTTTTGAGAGATTTTTTAGTGCTGGTAGCTGAGGAATAACTTTCATATTGTTCCAAAAGGCTTGAGATGTTACTGTATTTCTTTTTATAATGTAGAAGTACACCGATTGCAGGAAACGATGATGTCTGACATTTCAATGTATCAAGAAAAGACAATTAGTTTTTTTCATTAGGCCTAATGTAATGGACAACTCTTTATTTCTTAAGGAATATCTAAAAATGTTTATTTTCATACCCATTGATTATGTAACGTGAACAGGTGACTCAAGCAGTTTTAAAATAATGATTGTTCTGTGGAACTTTTGATTGTTTCAAACAGTTTTGCTTATCAAAAAACCTCAAGTAATTAATATATAAAAAATTATACAGTCACTAAAAATCATGAAATAATTGATTTTTGTAAAAAAATACAACCGACTTCAAACGCTCTAAAAAGAATAAAATAATTTCAATAAAGTAAACTTTTGTATTAGGCAAGCTCACGTATTTCAAGTCGGCGCGGCTCAAACTGCAAATATGATTGAAATTAAATATTGTGTGTGTATTTTGAAAATCAATTGTAGCTGGATAACATAAATATATAAAAAAACATACTGAACTGTTTTGTTTATATATTAAAGGAAATATTTTCTTGTATTTTATGTTTACTTCAGAATAAATGCATTAGGAAAATAACACACACAAATGTTCTATATGAATAGGAAAATAATTTAGAATAGGGAATTTAGTATAGGGATTTTTATATTATGATAGGGAAAAGAAGCTAGTTTAGTTTATTAAATCGGCAAAAAGCATGGTCGAATTTAAGAGGGGTCTTAAAACATTTCTCATCAACAAGGTATTGTATTCCCTTGATGAACTTTAAAATTTTTAGAAGGAGCGTTAATTTGTAATTTGTATAAACTTATGTTAGATTTTAAGAACTTTGTATCCATAGAATATAACATTGTAATATAAAAACATTTAAGAGAATGACACTATTCATGTACTTTGTGCTTCAATGAATAAAGAAATATTGAATTGAATTGAATAGTATTAAAACGTTACTTTTCCAAGTTAGAAACATTTAAATGCGTTATAATCTTTTTAAAGATACTCGTTAATACCACTATAATGCCGATCTCTGATTACGGTAATAAAATAACACATAACTATGAAAAAGACATGCAGATTAACACCTTTAGTTATAGATAGTACCCTGCAATATGGACACCCTCTTTCAATTTTGTATCAAAAATCATCATAGAGCCGCGCCGACTTAAAATACGTTAGCTTGCCTAATACAAAAGTTTACTTTATTGAAATTATGGTACTTTCCTGTTAAAGGGAACATTCATTATTATCGATGATTTTTTACTCGATATATCGATATTAACAAATTGAAACATATCAGATGACAATTACGATAAATAAATATTGTTCAGAATCAACAAACAATAATTAAAAAAAAAATATTAAAATGAAACTGTTCTAAACTAACCTAACGAAACTAACCAAACATTTAAAGACTCCGTTTAATATTATCCACTTGTCTTTTCTGTTATCAAACGGAATTTTTTAAATTATACAGCAAGTTTGTTTGGTTATGTTAGGTTAGCTTAGAACAGTTTCATTTCTTAATCCATATAATAGACTATATTTTAGCCTAAAGATCAGCTGTCAATTTATATCGTAAAGGAAAACAAAAATATTGATATATAGAAAAATATCATCGATAATAATGAATGTTCCCTTTAACAGGAAAGTACCAAATTATTTCATTCTTTTTAGAGCATTTGAAGTCGGTTGTATTTTTTTACAAAAATCAATTATGTACTAGTGAACCCGTGCGGCTCAGTGAGCCGCATAGTATGAAACATAACGCCGAGGAAAACGTTATGCTTAAATTCGAGTAGTTCTAGTCACATCTTAGAGTTGTTTAAACACTTGTTAGAAACTAATTTTAAATACGGTATCTCTATTTACTTGCTACAACAAGGCTCACCTACATTATTTCTGCTCTCAGTTTTACCTGAAAACTTCTAATGAATGCTAAACGATCTGCTTCAATTCGAGTTAACACGTTGCAACAAAGTTTTTCCAGCATTGATAATTGAAGAATACTGTTACCTTACTGATAACCTGTGTTAAGTAATTTAAGTTGGGTCATTTTGTTTCTTTGATTTGAGACATCCCTCTTATCAAACGAATTTTCTCCGTAGAGAATCCTGAAAAGTGGGGTGATAGGCTATCAACCATTTCATGTGCTCCATTTTTTACCCACAAACTCTGGGCTACCTACTGGACAGCCATAATATGCTTTGAATAGGCTAAATCAGCAACACCAATGAAAGTTGTATAACATATTTTAACGTGTTGTCTTTCAGTCACAGTATATGCCCGCATCAGAACATTCTCACATTGTTCAGTGGAGTTTCTCTTAATACCTGTCCCAAAGTTTTGAAAGTGTCGAAATTGGTCCAT